GGGGCACGGGGTACCCGCCCCGGGCAACACTGCGGAAGCTGGGGGCTCCAGTCACCCAGGTATCCCCCCTTCCTCTTCTTCCTTCTTTCTTTCTATATACCGGTCCATGCCTGATTAATATTTTCGCTTGTTTTGCAGAGATGAACTTCAGAGCATTCAACATCCCCATGAAGAAGACCGGCGGCTCCTCCTCTGCTGCCCCCAGAACCGTACCGGTGCAACAGGAGCCGGTGGAGATCAACTCTGAGGAGGAAACTCCTCCGACCGGGAGGACCGGTCAGGCCGGGAGGACCACGGTAAACCCTCCCCTAGACAAGGGAAAGGGGAAGGTCCGAACCAAGCATGCCGCCACCACCCATCCCTCGGCAAAGAGGAGGAGGGGAGAAAGCGTCCCGGCCACAGAGTCGCTAGAGGAGCTCTGGGTTAAGATGGGGCGAAAGCTGAAAGAGGTAACATTCGCCCGGTACACTTTCCTCAGCTTTATTACTTGTTTGCCGTACTGACCGGTATGTTTGGTTTTGAAGATGGGTGAGGTCGGGCCTAAAACCTTGGAGAAGCTCGCCGAGGACTCCCCTTCCCGGTCACTTCAGCTGGAGGAAAAGTTGAAGAGGCTTGAAGCCCACAACCGGGAGCTTCAAGACCTGACCGCCCGGCAACTTGACGAGATGGCCAACCTCTCGGCGGTTGCCGGTAGGGCGAACACGGAGGTCCTCCAGCTGAAGGAGGAGAACTCGCTGCTGATGGGGGAGGTCTCCCACCTGAAGGAGGAGGCATGGGTGAAGGAGCAAGAGCTGCCCAGTCGGGAGTGGCCCCCCAAATGCCTCCCGGTTGGTCAGACATCTCAGGAGTGGCCCCCCAAATGCCCTTTTATACAGCTTTCCATCAAGAATTTGGAATCGGGGCGCCCTGAGCTTCACTTTTCTTGCCCGGTCATCTTGTTCTGGCAAGCTCCCATCCGTCAAATATTCCATCAGATCATACATCCAATGGTCGTCCGCCCCGACCAAGTTTGACCGGTCAAACTGGCTTCCGGCAGTTATAGCGGCGACTTCCAATTTCTCGATGCTTGCACGGTCAAGGATCTCTACCCGGGCATGTTTCGAAACATGCTCGGGAGCATATTGCGTCAATTTGGAGAGAAGGTCTGCATCCGCGTTCTCCGCCCGGGGAATTTGGGCGATCTTGAGATCTCCGAAGCCCTTCAACAGGGCAAGTACAAGGTCCTTGTATTGTGCCATGCGTCCTTCCCTTGCTTCCATGTTACCGGTCACCTGCCCTACTATCAGGCTAGAGTCAGATTTGATACTGACCCGGCTGATTTTCAGGGCTTGGGCAAGTCTGAGCCCTCCAGCCAGAGCTTCATATTCTGCCTCATTGTTCGTCAGCTTGAAGTTGAAGACGATTGCATGGTAGATCTTGAATCCTTCTGG